AATCATATATATGTTTAATTTTCAAAGTATAAAAAAGAAGTTGACAATGATATTTTATCAAAATGCTTTACATTATAATTGATGAATTGGGAGCCAATTTAGAAATTTTCAGGATATAATTTTAATACTATAAATTATTATTTCCCGAGATGTTTGAATTCCCATCTTATGAGCTTGTCAATGAACCCTCCATATCAGGGCACATAACAAGATAAATTGTTATTTCTTTTCTTTTTTCTTTTTTTCCAGATTTGGTGCACCTTCATTTATTCAAACATTGATTAAGCATCTATAGCATCTACAATGTTAGATACACATCAGAGAACAATACAGGGAAAAAAACAATTTCCTACCCTTTGGAGCTAGACCTAATAAAGTATTTACTTAAATTAGCTAATCTTCATTTTGTTTTATGCAATTAACTATTTAACATTTTCCATCTTAGTAGAAATAAATTATTTGAACATGTGAATTATTTGAACTTTAGATGTCAATGTAGAAATGGTCAAATAGGTACATAAGTTGTCAAAATATTTTAGGGAGTACATGAGCAAAAAGTTTGAAATACACACTTGAAAGAACATATAGTTTTTCTCTCCAATTATTTATATTTTTCTCATGGTACTTCAATTTTTAAAAGGATAAAATCTTAATAGGAAATCATGTGTAATATAGTACCAGGATGGAAATGAGTGGAAAACAGAAAAAATGCATAGAACCGTCTCATGCTAAAGAGACAGTCTTGCATAGTAGGGGACATAGAAAAAAATTATTTTTTATTTTAATTCCTGTATTTATAAGAATGAAAATTTGTCCTTGAGGAGATGTGTTTGTGCGTGTATAAGAGAGAGAGAAACCAAGAGTGAGAGACAGGGAGATTTGACAGTCTCCCACTGTCCACTATGCAGGAGAGAGAAGAGTATTATTATGCACCAATGGACAGACCTGGAGGGGTACCATGCTTGGAGATCTTGTTTCTGCACTGGCCTGCACAACAGGAATTGAGGTGCTGAGGTGATCCTTTTGTAAATTGACATTTTGAATCTCTAAACACCAAAGTGACTATATTTTGAGATCTGGCTTTTCAGGAGACAATTAAGGGCAAATGAATTCATAAACACAGGGCCCTATCCAATAAAATTGGTGACCTTATAATAATAAGAAAAGACACCTCCCATTTGCATATCACATATACACACCTTACATACACAAGCCAAGAAGAGAGCCCTCAGCAGGATCCAACCAGGTTAGGACCCTGATTTCAAACTTTTAGCATCCAGAACTGTGAGAAAATAAATTACCATGGTTTAGAGTAATCTGTCTATGGTATTTTGTTATGTAAGTTTGAGAAAAATAAGACACTCTCCTTCCTCTGAACTTTTCTACTACCACAATTCATTTACATAGAATTGTGTGGAGTTTGGGGCTAACTCAACCTTTCTCAGTTTTTTCCATTGATGGAACATCTGAAATAACTTTCAAGGCTCAGGAAAAGCTATATAAAAATTATTGTATCTATAGCTCACATTATACTAGCATTAACAAATCATAGATTTATTAATCCAATAATAATTGTCAAGAATGATTGGTATCTGTGGTTGTTTATTTCAGTTATCTTTTTGTCCTGTTACTTTGAATAGCACCTTCCCACAAAGGATATCAACTTGAATACAAGTTAGTCATGGGGACTGAGGAAGTATCAGTTTTGTATTATCCTAGTACTTTTAAAACCCTTGTCACAAATTTATATTATTCAAGATTTACAAGGTATTTTCCATGATATACAGTATATATAAAAGTAATTTTTTTCTTTACATTTGAAACTAAAAGTTAGTTTGTATCCAAACTTTCTTGAGAAAAAAAAACAAGTTGTTAAACATAGCTTAAGTTTGTTGAAATAAATCTTTCTTTCCTTTTTTATAAGTTACGCAAACATAATAAACTTATATCACTGGCTAAAGCCAACTTGTGATATTTTCTAAAAGTAGGCTCAATTGATTTAATAAGTAAATTGACTTTAGTGTTATTTACAAAATAAGAATTTCTTAACACTGTTGATAGCAAAACTACTAAATCTGTCAAGAAATATGAACGGAATATAGCTCTACACAACTTTATAGACATATGCATGAAAGAAAAGTGTTGTATCTCATTAATGGGAAAATTGTGCTACACAAGTACTCAATTATTGACTAAATTTGAGATAATCTCACAAATTTTCTATTTCAATTGAAATAGGAAAAATTCTATCCTTGCTCATCTTCAAAAATTTCTTCAAACATCAAATAAAATATAATCCTTAATAAAATTTAGGTCATCAAAAATAAATGAAATAGAGCATAAAGAGAAATAAACAAAATCTCAGAAGTCCAAAAGCTTCACAACACAATTTTCTTTTATTATTAAAAATCTTCATTTTGCAGCACTAGCAGTAACAACAAAGTGCCAGGAAGTAGACAAATGGCTGCGTCCAAAATTGTCTTCTTTGGAAGAAAAGTTGTCATTGGGATTGTTGTTACTGTTATTATTGAAACAGAAGAGTTTGCTTTTCAATGTTCATTGGTAGCACATAAGAGGATGATGGGTAGGTAACCCAGGAGAGAGAAATTGACTTTATCAGTGTCCCTTCTCTCCTTTATGACATTTAGCATCTCCGAGTTATGAATGGCTTTTCCCAGTCATATTAAAGTTGAAAAAGACTTAAGGGTTTTAACGTGGCCCTGCTACGCACCCGGCCATATGGGACTGATGCCTGCTAACAAAATTGTTAATGGGATGGTCATTAAATGTCTATTACTCTGAGTGCTCCTATCATGTGACATCCAGGAACTTAAAAAAAAAAAAAAAGTTCAGTGTTTTTTTTTTTTTTTTTTCCTGTCAGTCCCAGTCTCTTGTTAAATCCCATTGTACATCTCACGGAGTGCTAGAGTTTTGCAGAATCCCTTTTGAGAGACTGGTCTAACTCTGTATTTCAGACTTGGTCAATGGCTTAAGGGGGGAAGATAGATTTTGGGGGAGGAGCATTGTAACTACGAGATGGAATCTTGTGAAAGGTGGTAGAGCATTGCATAAAGGTGAATTAAAGAAGGATGAGCCTTTTTAAAAGAAGCAAGATTCTGAGAACAGGGATTCAAAGTGAGAAAGTTTGAAATTCCATAAGGTATACCCTGTGAAGAACTATACTTCCTGTGTCTTTGTTCTTGATCTAAGAATAGACATCCAAAAATTAAGAATTGTCCCCTTTAGCTATCCTGAGGAAGTTCGTAAGGTAAATATTTTTGTACAGTTGGAGGTGACATTATTGTGGAAAACAGGGCACTCAGGAGAAACATAGCTTCCTCTACTTCCATTCCTGAACAGGGAAAAGAGAATCCAGTACTCCTGATGGATTGAAATGAAGGATAGTGCAAAGCAACAAAGGTAATGTCTAAGTCTACAACTCATGAAGAATTATAGGTAATGCTCTGCTGTTTGGATCTATGGTAAATTGATGTATTACATATGCTTACTTTCTTTTATCCCTCACCTCTCCTTCTCAATACCTTCTGTAATCTATCAAAGCAGTTTTATAAAGACTTCTAATTGCAGAGCTGGGGATGTGGCTCAAGCGGTAGCGCGCTCGCCTGACATGCGTGCAGCCCGGGTTCAATACTCAGCACCACATACAAACAAAGATGTTGTGTCAGCCCATAACTAAAAAATAAATATTAAAAAGTTATCTCTCTCTCTCTCTCTCTCTCTCTCTCTCTCTCTCTCTCTCTCTCTCTCTCACTCTTAAAAAAAAAGACTTCTAATTGCTAAATTTAGGAAATATTTCCCAAACAATATTTTTTTGAAGCCCTCTCCTCCTTTGGCAGTACCATCTCTTTAAATGTTTCAACTTCTTCCATCTTGGCATACAAGATTCAAAATCTTAAGCAGGTGCATCAGAATTGGTGATGCTCCTTTGCAAAGACGGAATACTGAGTCCACTTCACTTCCCACATAGATTCACACAATGGGAGATTCCCCAGAGGGGAGGGGGGAACACTTGAGTAACCCAGTACCCAGAACAAAAATAAATAAGTGAATAAATAAATGAATGAAACACCACCACATCTCAGAATCCTTCCTATGTTCCCTTTCTTCCCATAAACTGTCTCCATTCTCATGTTAACTGATATCCTGATATTCAAGCACATAAAAATTTTGTCACATTTGAACAATTGTGAGAATTATTAATGGTATCATGTGGGTTTGTAGGTCATTGATTCTCACTGCTACATAAAATTCAATTGTATGGGTATATCAAAATCTGTGGCCATTCTTTTCCATGTTCAAGTTGTATCACTCATGTTACTTGCACATCCCTATTTGTCTGTGGCACTGATGTGTGCCTGTGTTTACAAGATCTGTACCCAGGAACAGAAATATAACTTCTAACCTTTTTGCTACACATTTTTACTCCTACGGAGAACTACACCTTAAATGTACATGTTACATTGGGTTTCATCACAACACAAAATACAACTAAAAAAAGTATAAAAAATAATAACTGTGATAAGCTCCGATATTTTCTCTTCAATTTTTAAAACCTTGGGCTACAGGATAAAATCAATCACTTTATTGTGGTGAACAGTGATGCTTCTGTCCCTGTCTACCCTGCCAGCCTCACATCCTGCCTCTCCTTACCTAATGTTTTTCTGTCCTACCTTTTTCTGACTGCTTGTTACTTTCTCCTCCAAGCTCCTGATCCTTCTTCCCTTTCCATCCTTAATACACCATTCCTCATCTCCATTTTATCTAAAATTCTTACCTTAACCCAAAGTCTCCACCCCAAGGCAAACTCAGCAGTCTTCATGAATGTATAAATGTTTCATCATGCTCTGGAAATATCTCTGTTATTTTACCCACTATAGTGTATTATACTTATTCATGTATCTGTGAAGTCTTTAGGGAAAGTAACTGTTTTACTCATTACTGTAGCTCTAGGATTTAGGAGAAAACCAGGATAAAGCAAATAGTCAATAAATATTTATTGTATGAATGAATTGACTTAAATTCAGAAACATGGGTTTTAGTTCCAGGTCTGCATCTTGTAACTTACTTGAGTTTTGGCAGTTTGCTTATTTTAACTGAGCTGCAGTTTTCTTACCTGCTAAAGAAAGAGATCATAATATCCATTCAACTGACTAAAGCTGTTAAGATCAAAGGAGATGATGCAAATACACTATTTATACACCTTATAAATATGTGTATATGTTAACATATTAGATCAGAAAATCAGACTCATATTTTTCCTTTTGCCTTTGTATGTTTTAAAATCTTTTCACTTCATATTTTCAGTTGGGTTGAATCTGCTTTATGCATTGTAAAATCCCCATGTTATTAAGTGTCAGGCATGGTGCTTAAATATACAGTTAGGAAAGTCATGTAGTCAAGTATTCCATTTACCAGCTGACTCTAAACTAAGACCATTCCTGACTTAAAATATATAGACTGATTTGAGATAATGTTGCTTTATCCAAACCAAACCTCCAGACTTCAGGGCTGCAGCTCAGGACCTTATACCCTGTATGCTTTACTCACTTGCAAACATATCTCCCTTACTGCAGATATGTTTGCAAGTGAAATATCTGCTTTCAGTGTGTGTGGCAAGCAGTAATATATCTTTGAAGAAATTAGGATTCATGCAACATGATACTTCTGAAAAGGTTCACACTGTGTAAAAAGTCCATTTGTGTCCATGCACTACCTGATATGTAATCCCAGCCCCATTTTGCATTTTTAATGCATGTGAAATGCCCATTAAAACAAATATGTTTATAACATAAAGCCTATTTATTATTTACCCTACTGGCTGAGTTAATCTTTAACTATTGGAAGCAAATACAACTTCTTTTTACTGGAAGCAATCTGACAAACACAGGATAAAGTCATCAGGGACAAATGTAAGGTAATAAATTGAAGAATGGGAAAGAATTTTTAAAAATCCAGATAAAACCAGAGAAATTTAGCCTCGAGCTATAAATTAATATGCCTCATTTAGCCAGGACACCTATTTTTGTAAATGAGTGAAGTCTGTAGGATATAACATTCTGGGATTGCAGTCACTGAGTACTAATGATTGTGGCAAAAGGGTTTAAGTCCAGCCAGAAGAAAGTGGGCTCCATCATCCTGTACAGCTGGCCATGAAGGAATGTGGATGCAGCATTGCCAGAACTTTTGATTCTGCACAAGAAATTACAAATTCCTATTTTACATGAATTTTATAGATTTTAGATGTTATTTTCTTTAGTTTAAAGCTGTGTAGGCCAAAAACCCACAGTGTCAAATCATTTGAGGAATCTTGTCTAGTACCATGCAAAGAGTAGGCCCACAAACAAGGGAAAAATGAGGGTAATTGAACATATACTGAGTACTGCAGAGATTTTTTTAAATATTTATTTTTTAGTTGTAGTTGGACATAAAACCTTTATTTTATTTATTTATATGTGATGCCAAGGATTGAACTCTGGGATTTACAGGTGCTAGGCGAGCACTTCACTGTTGAGCCACAACCCCAGCCCCCTGCAGTGATTTTTAAATAAAGAAAAATCTTACTTATTAATAAGAATGGTATTATTGGTCCTATTAGTCATTTCATTAAGTTATTGGATATATATTTTATCTTCTCATTTCAGAGACATTTAGAATAATTAGAATATGTCCAGAGAAAATCATTTAAATAGTACATCTGGAAAGGTTAAAATAAGGTTACCCCAAGATCTATTAAGAGAGCTAGTTGTTCACTCAGCTTCGCACACAAAAAAGAATTTTTCTTCATTGCTTCACCTTTGACCTTTTGCATTTGCTGCTTTCTTTGTGTGAAGTTTACTTTCTTTCTAGTCTTTACCTGGTTAATTTTGCCTGGATGACATCTCCAGGAAGTCTTCTTTGCACTCCCACAACTCAGTCGCCTCTCCAAGGTTTCCATGATATCTTAGCCCATTCCCTTTGTGGCTTCTTCCTTTCTCCTCCTCCTCTGGGTTATGGACTCCTTGAGCACCACGTCTTATTCATTTTCAAATCCTAGGACCTCACCCTAATGGTGACATGTAGTGGACACATAATACATATAGATGAATACATAAATAAATCAGTGCATAGATTGATCGATAAATACAGGATTCTCTCAGCTGGCACAGCTACCTATGATCAAGTACTATTTTTTATTCCTCATTAATTTTCATTCTACTCAGAAAAACTGTTGGTCTTGCAACTGTTCATCATATATATATTGACAAACTATATTTATAGATGTGATAGAGTTTTTAAAAATACTAGCATTTTTAAATTAACAACTGTGCGACAATTATTATGCAATCCTCATAATGAGTCTAAAATTGAGGCACTATTATTCTAAATTTACAAATTAAAAAAAATGAGGTCATAGGGATCATGAGACTTACTCCAGATCACACTTTAATTAAGGACTCACAATTCTCCATAAGGATGGCTCCAGAATTCATGGTCTTCCCCAATAGCAATGCTGTCTTTCTGTAAAGCTCCACTAGAAAGAACTATCAAAAGGTATTTCAAAGGAGCTGACAGACCCAAAGGACTTAAAATAAGCATACTACAGTGACTCATCCACATCAGTGTTTATAGCAGCTCACTTCACAATCACCAAGCTATGGAACCTACCTACATGCCCTTCAACAGATAAAAGGATAAAGAAAATGTGGTATCTATACACAATGGAATATTACTCAGTCACAAAGGAGAATGGAATTTTGGAACTTACTAGTATATGGATGGAAACTGGAAAATATCATGCTAGTGAGATAAGCCAGTTCCGAAACACCAAAGGCCAATATTCTGTCTGATATGTGGATGCTAACCCATAACAAGTGAGTACAGGGAAGGGAAGTATAGAAGTTAATTGGAAGGAAGGGAAGGGAGTGGGGTGAGAATAGGAAAGACAATAGAATGAATTAAATATAACTTTCCTATGCTCATATATAACTTTATGTAACTTCATATTATTTACAACCAAAAATAGGAGACCCAAATTAGAATGGGTTGCACTCCATGTATATATAATATGTCAAAATACACCCTACTGTCACATACATCTAAAAACAACAAATAAAAAAAATGCTAACAGAGTTACATTGACTTTCACAGGCATTTCCAAGAGAAATTCACTACTGTAAAGTCATAGCTATGTGCATGGTAAAATGGATGGATGTACATGTTCCCTGTTAATCTATTATTAAAAATCTCATTTAAAATGTGATGTACTATGTAAGTTTCTGAATATTGATTTGTTCAGGTTGAAACATGCCCTTGACTCTCTATTATTATGTAACATTTTCCATTATCTGAAGAAAAGTATACACGAAGATAACTTTTCTGGTTCCACAGGTGTCTCCCTACCTAATCTCTTGGGAAATTGAACACAGGTGAGAAGACTTGGACCAATTTGCATGGGAGTGCCAAGAGCCTGCTGAGAGGAAAGGGGTTATCACTGTTAAGCTTCTTCCTTTTAAAGGTTAACACTTCAAAATATTTTCAATAGATAGAAATAACCTTTAAAGAGATTAACTGGTAGGAGATTATACCAACTATTTCCTTCTTTTCCCCTTCCTAGGTGCAAAAAAAAAAAAAAAAAAAAAGGCCCACTCAGGTTAGGATACAATTGATCCAATCCTAATACAAAAAAAATAATCATAATTTCTCTCATTCTAAGGGACACCAAGGAATTTAAAAAAAAATTCTCTCATTTTAAGGGACACCAAAGAACTAAAGAAAGATTGCCACTGTTAATTTTTTTTAAATGAAATTTGTCTTTATAATAGGCCTATTGGTTTTTCCAAAGAACAGAATTTGTGTAAAACAATGAGGCCATTATGATACACTAAACACTACTGCTCTAGTTTTAAGAAGCTAAGTTGACATGCTCCAATTTTGAATCATGTCCTTAGATTTGAACAAATGTTCTCCTCTGATTTACTCAGATAATGCCTCCTGAACTTAAAGACTCATTTCAGATTCTCTTTTGGGACAACCTCTGAGTCAGGATCCAAACAGAAAAACAATGCCAAACAACTCTATTTAAACACAGGATGGACTGGATCCACCTGAAAGGAGGGAAGCTTAGAATGGAAAAGGGGAAGGAAGAGGGTCTCACTGGTGTTAACTGGAGGAATCTGGAATCCTGGTAGAGTTGCCTGGTGCAAATGGAAGAGCTGAAGTCACAAAAGTGACCTGCTTCTTTGCCAACCACTGTTTATAGTCTATAGGAGATTGGCTTCCTTGGATAGGAAACAGTGCCTGCATAGGGTGATTCTCCCAAGATACACAGCAAAGCAGGGAAAACCCAGCAAGTGGAATGAACAAAACTCCTTCTCCAACCCTAAAAACCAGTTGTAACTTCACAACCAGTTGTCCAGGCATCATTCTTACACTCCCACCAGATGAAAGATGTGATTGCATCCCCTTGAATCGTGATGTCTATTCACTCATGGGAGATGGCAAGACACAGGAAGTGAGAGAATATCTGATGATTGGATAAAGAAATGAATGATTTTCCCATAGCACTCCCTTCACTTTACAATAGGAAATACGTGTTTTCCATTTCTTATTGCTGATTGTTCTTAAAAAATTCAAGCTCTTGAACACTGAGACTGGCCTGTCCACTAGAACCTAGATGATCAGTTGGGCCTAACTGGTAAATATTATAGACAAATTCACATGAGATTTGCCTCCAGTTGTTTTATACATATACTGCTCTTTCTTATGGTATTTCAAAAAGAATAAATTTTAAAAGTCATAAAATCCTTACCAAATTATGAATATACATCATCATTTATGCAAGTTTTGATAAAATACCTGAAGAAGGATCAAATACTTTCTTCCTATTAGAGAGTAATAGCTGTAGGTTTTCATGTTAATCTTTCATGTTATCCTATTGCAAAATCAAGTGATCTCATAAAACTGTTTCCCTTCTCTTAGATAAAAAAGTATAGAGGAGAGTATATCAAAGAATAAAATTAGGGCTGGGGATATGGCTCAAGCGGTAGCGCTCTCGCCTGGCATGCGTGCGGCCCGGGTTCGATCCTCAGCACCACATACGAACAGAGATGTTGTGTCTGCCAAAAACTAAAAAATAAATATTAAAAAAAAATTCTCTTTCTCTCTTAAAAAAAAAAAGAATAAAATCATCTATAAAAATGACCCCAGGCAGTTATTATCTTCTTATTGTGAAGAAACAACCTGAAAAGTCCTTTGGTGACAAATATTCCTGATTATATATATATATCCTGATTATATATATTATATATTATATATATATATTCCTGATTATATATATATATGAAATGAAGCAACATCTCTTGGAGAAGGGCTTGTCAATCAAATAGTGTTTCCCAAACTATTCCCTGTGGTACACAAGCATGGCAAGAGGTTAATAATGTGTTTTAGTCAGCTTTCTTGCCACTTCAACTAAAAGATCCAACCACAACAATATTAGAGAAAGAAAAGTTTATTTGGGGGTTCATAGTTTCATAGGTCTCCATCCATAGATAGGAGGCTCCATTCCTCCAGGATTGAGGTGAGGCAGGACATCATGGAGGAAGAGTGTGGCAGAGGGAAGCAGCTTCCATGGTGATCAGGAAGGAGAAGGAGAGGCTCTACTTGCCAGATACAAAATGTATACCCTAAAGACATTATTCCCCCAGTGCCCTGCCTCCTCCCGCCATACTCCATCTGCCTTCAGTTACCATTCAATTAATCGAATTGGATGATTAATTGACTGATTGGCTTAAGTCTTTCATAATCCAATCAATCCTACCTGGAATCTTCTTACATTGTCTCACATGTGAGATTTTAGGGGACACCTCATATCCAAACCATAACATGTTCTCAAAAATAATTTTGGGAAATAATAAGTCACAAAAGAAACTTGAATAATCAAGTTTCTTTCCTGGAGAAATTCTTCAATTCTTTAATATGTGAATGTGTTTTGAATCTCTAAGGAGAGAAAAGAAAATTAATTTTTGCATACCATTTATGAGATGTGAGAAATTCTACAAAAAAAGAGATACAAATTTATTGTGAGTTAAAGAAAATAATAATTCAATCGTTGTTTTTATTTAATAAATGAGCAGATAATAAAATTAGTAGAAGTTATAAATATTCTGTGATACATCTTTTATATTCAATGCTGCTTTTTAAATAAAATTTTTCAAATATAGGATTGCTTAATATTTTGCTTGTGGGAATGAACAAATTTTTCTGTTTCATGGTAGAAAGTTCAACTGGGTAAAAATGATGTTATTTCATTTTATTTTCTTATCCATACTTGCAACAATGAGATCATATAAAAAGTACCATCTTTTATGTGGCAAGAATATCAGCTCAGAGCAGCCTATCAGAAGAACATAAAAAGTTTCCTTTTTAAAGTGTTAGATTTGTGACTTCACACCAGATAATCATAGTTGTTCCATTTACCACAATGACAAGTATGATAAGAAAAAAAGTCATTTACCTATTCAACAAATATTTGATTTTCGATTATGCAACCAACTACAAGTAGTTGTAAACTTTTACCTCTCTAAAAACAATTTTTACTTTAGAGTATGTGCGAACTTCACCATTTCTACAAGTACATTATCTACCGACTGGTTTGGGCCTTAGGATTGTAACTGCTTACTTACTGTTATATTTGTCCTGTTGGGGATATTTATCCTATAAAAGAGTCTTCTGCATGGAATTTTCATATTTCTAAAAGAATAGATATATTAGGAAACTAAATACAAAACTGGACTTGATTATGGCAAGATTTCTTCTACATGAACTAGAGAGAAAAAAAGCAGAGAAATTTGTTAGGAGAATCTCATCAAAGTCAAAAGGAGGTCAGATAGAGTCAAGGAAAGAGAGAAAAGGAAAGGAGAAAGGAAGAGAAGGGGAAAGTACTGGGGACTGATACTGGCAAAAGTATATTGTAATTATTTTTATACTTGGGATTGAATACAGGGACTCTTTATCAGCTACATCCTCAGCCTTTTTTTATTTTTTTAGTTCCAGACAAAGAGTCATTAAATTGCTTAAGGTATCACTAGTTTGCTGAAACTGGCCTCAAACTTGCAATCCTCCTTCCTTAGACTCCCAAATCACTGGGATTATAGACATGCGCTAACAGTTCTGGCAAATCATATTGTAATATTGTGTGCATGTACAAATATGGAACAATAAACCCCATCATTATGTACAGCTATAATGCACCAACAAAACACATGGAAAAAATTTCTTCTACATATATATTTTCTAAAATCACAAGATGCTTATTATATTCTTCTGACACATACATGAAAACATACATAAATTTTAAAAACATTCATATTTTATATATTTATTAATTTAACCACTATCAAAGTTTTTGTTTCCAGAGTTAGCATTGAATAAATGCATTTTAAAAGTTTAAATTAAAGAATGGTTTCTAGTCAAGTTTATAAATTTGGTCACAATTGACTTAGTAATAAAATATTCTCAAACATTAGAAATTAGAAGAGTCAAATTAAAAATCCACACCCACCATCTCAAATAAAATGATGTAATGATATATCCACAAATTATCCAGAATATGAGAAAATGGGGCTTAGTCACCAATAACAATAAAAAATCTTTCAAACATTTTGGAAAGCAAAGTAGATATGTCTCCTCTGTCCCAGCAATACATTCCTACACATATGTTTGAGAACCTAAAATAATACTCACACATATTCATAGAATCATTGTTTGCAATAACAAAATATTGATAGCAGCTGAAATGACTCTCAATAAGAGAATGGATAAATAAATTGCTACATATTCAGACAGTGAAATACAGTGGATTAAAAATAATTAAAGAATCATGGATGCATAAGAAAGATTGGCACAAAAAAATACTGATCAAAATGCTTTTTAAAAATATATTACAGGAGAGTAAATAATGATAATTTATATGTAGTTTAAAAATTTGCAAAGAATATTAAATACTATTAAAGAATATTCCATTAAGAAATATTTAAGAAAATAAACACATATGTGTATATGTATACATATGTGTGTGTGTGTGTGTGTGTATTTTGTGTGTATGTGTGTTAGAAAGATTTTCATCACTCTACAAAAATACCTGACAGGCACAGGTTAGAAAAGGAAAAGGTTATTTTGTCTCATGGTTTCAGAAGTTCAGTCCATGGCCAGTAAACTCCATCACTCTGGGCCTAAGGTGAGGCAGAGCACCTTGGAGGAAGAGTGGGGCAGATCAAAGCTTCCTACCACCCAGCAGGCAGGAAACAGAGAGAGCAAGGGGAAGGGGTCAAAGGGAGGATGAACCCCCTAAAGCACTCTGCCAGTGACACACCTCCTCTAGCCTGCCTATAGTCACTACCCAGTCAGTCCTTTCAAATTGAGGATGCACTGATTAGGTGACAGTTCTTACCACCTAATCATTTCACCTCTGAAATGTTAACACAGAAGCTTTGGGTAGACACCTCACATTCAAACCAA